AAAAAAAAAAGAAGAAGAAGGAAGAAAACATAGTAAGGATACTTTTTTTTCCTCTCTATATAGAGTAATTAAATGTGGCACCTTATTTGGAATGGGTTTATACATTGTGTCCCTAAGTCCCACATGGGAACTTGCACTTGTTGTCCGGGAGACCTGGATGGGTTCAGGGTGAGGGCGGGAAGGAGGCGAGGGAGGAAGGGTAGAGCCCAGCACCTGTGCTAGCACTTTATGGAGAACCGGAGTGTGGAGGATGCCCTGAGCCCAAACCTGCAGTGCCTTGAGCACCCGGGGATGCCGCTGGCTCCAGCAAGTTTTGGGTGTGCAAGGAAAGGAGGGTCAGACCCATTACATAACCTTGTGTTTATTTCTTTTTTTTTTTTTTTGGCTAAGGTATACAGGTGTGGCAAGTGCATTTGTTCTCACCCCATCTTTATTTAATTCAGAATGTTCCCGAGAGATTTTTTTCCCCCCAAACTTTGCTGTATAAAATGAATGTTACTGCACTGAACTACAAAAAGAAACCCCCTTCTCTTCCCCTAAGAAAACACAGAGCAGCTTGTCAGCCTGAGCTCATTTTATCCTAAATTCCGAGTGACACAAACTGGAGGCCGTAGGTAAACACCTCGCTGTGCAACCAGAACTGATTAACCCACTTGGGGTAAGTTTCCCATATGGGTTTTCCCCTCATCCCATGCTCAAATACTGCGTTTTCCCTTTCTGGAGACAAACCAGACGCCAGATAATCACACAGATAAAGCTTTTATAATAAGGCTTAAACCAAGACCTTGCCTAGATATTTTTAGTTTGTTGCCAAGGTAGCACTGTGAGAAATCTCACTTGAATGTTATGTAAGAGGTGAGACACCACAGCCTGGCGAGGAGTGTGTGCGTGTCCGGGGTCCGTCAGTCCGTTTGGTGCATCTGCTGCTGCTGTTGCTACTGTTTGCCTCAAACGCTGTGTTTAAACAACGTTACAAAAAAAAAAATCTTACTAGCCTACAGAGTGGCTGTATGTAAATAGTTGTTAATACATCCAATTAATGACGTCTGACATGCTATTTTTGTAGGGAGAAAAATATGTGTTAATGATATTTTGAGTTAAATATCTTTTGGGAGGATTTGCTGAAAAAGTTGCACTTTTGTTACAATGCTTATGCTTGATACAAGCTTATGCTGTCTTAAATTATTAAAAAAAAATAAATCCTGTCTGCAAGAAACCAGCTGTTTTAGAACAGTTTAGTATGTGATATATTAGAAATCAATCTTTATATTCAGTATTTTCCAGCACTCCATGAATTCTATTATCTAAATATTTCCACACTATTTTGTGATTTAAAAAATTCTTAATAAGGAATAAAAACTTTAATACACAAAATGGGGCTGTCTACTAATTAAAAATGCAATGATAATACATAATATTTGGTGCATCGAGCTTCAAACTGTATGATTGTGTGGTTGATGATGATTTAATTCACATTTTTAATCTGGGTTTGAATTTGCTGGGTTTCCTTTAACTCTCTCTGGCAAACTCTGGTTTAATATGTGCACATTTCACAAAGCAAACCCGTGGAACACACAGGTTTCTTCCTGACATCTACTTTTTTCCCTCTTCTTTTTGCAAAATACTAATCTTTAAAATTAACACTTGTCAGCCCTGGTGCTCCATGGGAGCCCCCTTTGCTCACAAGGAACAAACTTTATGATTTGCCTGACAATCTAATGACGTATCCCAATCTCTGCAGAAATGAATGATGGGTGTCCCAGCTTGGAAATACTCTACAAAACCCAAATATTTTGTGCTGAGGGGGAGAGGGAGAGGAGGAATAGAGTGGTAGAAGCAGGCTGATCATTCCTAGCATGGAAATGCAGCACCCTAAAGGCTTCAACAGATTGAATAGCAGAGCTGTAGATCACCTTTCCTTCAAAAATTCTTGCAGGGAAATAAAATTAAAGGAACGCCTCAAACAGTAGCCAGTGTTTACGTAAGAGAGAGATGAAGGGAACGTTCCGTGCTCCCTCTGCTGGTGCTCCAGTACCGGTGACTACAGTGACAAGGAATGAAGTTGGAATGGAATAAAAAGTTCCTAAGACTCGTGTTAATTCCACCAATCCCTTAAAACACAGGGCGAATTATAAATTGGATGAAAAATAAGCACTTCTTTTAACTTACTCGAGTAGGATTGCTAAGAAATAGGCGTCTTCACATGGAAGCTGTAGTAAACTTAATTAAAATTAGAGATACAGGTGGGCTATCTACAAATACCAATGGACACATAGACATAGGTTTTTTCAATAAATAATGGACCAAAGGCCGCCACAGTGCACCACTCTTTCTGCTGAAGTAAATTGCTAGGTAGAGAAATGGGGAAAAAAAAATCTGTGTCTGCCTCCATCTGTCTTTGGATCTGGTTCTGCTCCCTGTGTTTTCACGGGAATGAAAGTGAGCTGGGCTCAACCCTTCCCCTGGGTAACTTTGACCTGCATACTTGAACAGCTTAATACTTGTTAGGCCAGCATTTAGGCCGGGATGAAGGTGCTCATGAGTCCTCCTGCCAGCTGGGCAATCGGCCTGACTGAGCACAAAGCCCTTGCTGCCAGATCACTGCCCCAGCACAGAGGGTGGAGCCACGGGCACGTCATAAAAACCTGTGCCCCTCGTGAGGAGTGCAGCTTAAACCTGAGCATCAGCAAGGCTGTAGGTCTCCTTCAAATTTTCTTCCTTTGGGAATATGAATCCATTTAGGTTTCACTGGGCTATAAACCCAGATCCTTAGAGGGCTTTATCAATTGCAGTATTTACCATGTACAGTAACAGGAAGGCTTGTTTCTATTAGCCCTTGAATCAAACTTGCCAAATGACTTCACACCAAGTTGCAGTATCAGTGAAATCTATTACATTTTATGACATAAAACATAAAGACAAACTATGTGTTTTCTGATAATCCCAATGCCTAACAAAAGCAAACATGGGGGGAAAAGGTTTGTAATTGAGGCTGATAACCCACTGCTGCTGGAGGCAAAAGGCAAATGACAGGAGGGACCCTAGTGTCAGCCTTAATTGTTAAATTCCAGGTTTCCTCAGATCCCTTTGGAGTCTAAATCAATTTGTATGTCTTGAATTTTCTTGAGTTTAAAAACAATCACAGAAACACTGGACAAGAGCTTCCCATCCTTAAATACACATTCCCTTATGGAAGTGCTGAGAGTGCAGGACTGGGTGCCACATTTACTGTTTACACTTGAATCCATATTCTGTTGTCTCATAAACTACAAGATAAGTGATGCAAGCTTGATTTCTTAAGCAATAACGTTGAAAACAGATTATATAATCCAGTATATCATAGTGGCATGACAGGCTCCATTAGAATGCGCTAAATCAGGATGCTTGGGATTGTTAAACCAATGGAAGGCAATATAACTTACCTCCAACTGAGGGACAAGGAATTTTTATGTTTGGAAGTGTTACAGTTACAGATCTTG